CCCAGTGTGCTTTCAAGGGCATTCAGTTTGCATTTGCGATCAGTTTGAGACGCTTCTGTGATCACTGACAGGTGCTTCTGGCCTCCTTTCACCTGATTTTTACCTCCTTCTAAGGTTGAACAAGCTGGTTTTGCATTCCTATTCATCTGTATAGGGAAAAAAGCAGTAGTGATGATATTAAATGCCCATGTACACAGGCCCTTGTGATCAGTGGGGCCGCCTCTCCCATCTATGGATAGCACTTACACAATACTTCATGTTTACACTTGTTGCTTCTATATCACACTGGTTACTCATGAATGGTTTGCAGCATGTCAACATACACATTGTAAAAGTATGGAATAACAAGACATTGAAGGATGAGTAGGTCTGCATTCACTTATTTTAGAACCATTCCAGGCAAGTGAAAGTGTTTAGTGACCTATAAATGGTATATACAAAACAATCTTGCATGGGAATTCCACTTTCTCAGGCGAATATGGCAAAATGGAATTACTCCCTCCAATCTGGCCCCCTTCCTCCTCGCACCGCTGTACTTACCTTTTGGGCTAACGTTCCTTCCCCTCCACTGGCGCTGGTGTTCTTTATATACTCCATACATGGCAGGGCAGCCCTGTGCTTTCTATTTTGAATTTCACTCACAAAGGGCGAGCACTCATTGGTCAACAGCACTTCTCATTGGTCAGCATGGTCAGGTGACCGCGCTGACCAAAAAGTACTTGCCATTTGTGAGTGAAATTCAAAATACAGAGTACAGGGCTGGGCTGCCGTGTACGGAGTATGGGTAGTACATCAGCATTGTTGGAGGGGAAGGAGTGTTCAGCCAAATCTAGCAGGGGGTAGTTGGGGGAAAAGGGCCAGGTTGGAGGGGGAATTCCATCTTCCCAAATTTACCTGGGAAAGCGGAATTACCCTTTAATCTGAGTTCCCTGTAATCCAGAGAGCACTTCACATGTTTATTGGGGGAGGGGTGTACTTCCCGACTCTTGTGCATTGTAACCTTCCGACGTTGTGTTTCTTTTATCACTAACCACATTCAGTGTTCCAATGCAGGTTTGTACTGTATTCTGTATGTGAAAGCCTTTGGCATGCTACCTGCATCACGGTTATTCAAGGAGAGAAGTGCAGTAATGGTGCTCACCCGCATTTCCCTGATACACCTATTTTATATTTGTTACCTGTTCTCATTCATATAGCTTAATGTAAAACAAACCTGCTTGCATATTACATGCTCTGATCTGAAAGAAGAGTTTTTCCCTGTACTGAATTTCCTTCTGCAAGGGGGGCTCAGAGATTGATAACATAATTATCCCTGCCTGTACCGTGCTGGCAGATCTCATGAGCAGTTGTAAACTAGATTTGAACACTCTGTCCTAGCAAAGGGTTAAAGATCTAGAAGCATTGCATGTTAATGAGGGAAAGCTCAGTCTGTCCCTAGACTTTCTATGAGGACACACAGAGTTTCCTGTTACTGAAATTGAGAAAGAAGCTGCAAAGGCTGCTCCACAGACACATCTAAGAAGGTAAGAAATGTTATTATTATTTATTTTTATGTAAGCGGTGTGAATGGAAACACATAACAAACATATAGTGGGGGAGGGGTTCTCAAATTTGTCTGCAAAAGTGGAAATACACTGTAAGTCAAATGTATAAGGTAAAATGGGAGAGGCTGTAAAATGTGTTGTCATGTTGCAGTATGTGTGCTGTGACTAAACAGTTTTTTTTGATCAAATGAAAATTTATTGAAAGCGGTGATAATTACAAAAAATGCAAATATATAGTCATTGAAAATACTCCCCTAATCCTAAATATGGGAATTTTCCCTAATCTCCCCTCCCCCCTCCAAAAATAGACACAACACTGGTATATGCATGGGCAGCACAACAGCAGCCAATCCTGATTAGGGGCCCATTCCCATTGCTTCCAATGGGCCCAGTTTACACCATCGCAGTGTGTTGATGTGCGCTGGATTAAAATGGAACATGCTGCATCACGTATCACAGTGTGTGTGTTATAATACCAAAAATACAGCATTTTGTCTTCTTCTGTGGAAAATGCAACACACTCAGCATGTATCCAGCTTATGTCTTCCAGGTTAGAATACTAAAATCTGATTGGCTGTTATGTTTTACTGCACTTTGTTCACCCTCATCATTCCTTGCACTACATTATGAAGTAAACAGTGCAACATTTTCCATAGTGTGCGAGTCTGATGTCCTGTTTTCTACTAACAGTTATGACCACGGACTTATATGTGATTATACACAGTCATTTATTCATGCTTGAACCAAACCTGAGTGCAGAACGTGTTTGTATGTAGTGAAAAGTTAAAAAAAACAACACTGCGTCGTCTCTCCCCTCCCCATATAAACATCCTTTTTACATACAGATGTAAGCATAATGCTTTAAAACCTTGCTACGAGATAAAAAGTGCCAATGCAGAAAAATCCTACAATGTTTAATTGCCAAATATAAATAATTCTGCTACCTAAGGGTGATAAAACGTGCCGTTGCCTAGGAAACGTATAGGCCAATATATCCGAAGCTTGTCCAACATCCAGGAGCATGCAGCCTGGCTGCTTGGGTTGGATGGTGTTTGCCTCATTTGCTCATTGATGGTTCTGCTTCCTCATAAACAGTTACTTAGCCTTGAAAATGGCTGCCTTCTTCCGAGGCCTCCGGCACGTTTTAACTAAAAGCATGTAACAAAAGAAGACGCTACTTTCATTTCTGCCTCTTCTGCTTCTAAACGGAAGAAAAAAAAGGCATCAGGTGTATCTGGACGAGTTGCACACAAAATGGCTGACCTCGTAAAAGCGATCATATTGCTGTGGGTTGGTGTAAGTGACAGTTGGAGCAATTGATTGTCAGCAAGTTATACAAACTGCAACGCTGTAAAAAGACCACTTACCAACTGGGCAAAAACAAGGGACGTTTAGACGCTTGTCAGACGAACCAACATCGAAATATGTTACAGAGTGCTGGCCAGGAAAACACCAATATATCTGCAGCCTCACCACAGAAGGTACGCCATTAATAAAGCCAATACCCTCAGCAGGAAAAGTCAGTCACACACAATTCCAAAGAATTGCTAAACGTCTTACAGACCCTACAGACTTTTCCAGCACGGAAGTGTATAAAAATGGTGCCAGTTAGGGCATTGCACACAAAAAAAAAAGATAGTTAACCCTTTGTCTGCTACGTGAATACTGTGAAATACAGGGGCCCGCAGTGTCTTCGCTCAGTGACAATATTTCAAATCCTTTAGAAACCCAGAGGGAGACTGTAAACACTGTTGGCCATCCCAGAACCAGGAGGATGCAATGAAGGAATATCTCTCTTAAAATGAATATCCAGTGCAGAATTTCCTGTCAATAGCCAGCGGCTCCCAGCACTGTGCTATGTTCTCTGCTCTGATGGAGGCACTTTCCAGTAAACTTGCATCTGTGTGTAGTCCAACGGCAGCACGGACAACGAGACCCCATCATACTGTGAGGATCTCAAACTCTTCCTCCACATCAAAGAGTTTATCAGTAGATTCAATAAGCTCTATTGTGAGACAAACAAATAACAGATATGAAACAAAGAGATGGAAACAATACAACATGTCATATTCATTTCATTCTTAGCAGGAAACATTTGTTTTTCTTAAAGTGGAACTTTGCCTAGAAATGCAGACGGGCATATGGAGTGACAGTGGCCATCAGGACAAGCAGTTAAGAAAAATCTACCCAATGAGCGCCTAAAGAGCAATACAAACCTGACAGAAACTAACCCTTGCCCTTTCTATCAACAACTATAAAAACTAGGGCTGCACAGATACCGGCTTTTCAGCCTCAAGTACGAGTACCGATTTTTTGATTTTGGTACTCGCCAATACTGAGTACCGATACTGGTGCTTCTGCTGGCATGGAGCCGGCTTCCCGGGCATTCAGAAAGCCGGTCGGTGGGTAACAACATGCCGCCCAGCTTCCTGATTGACCAGGAAGCTGGCTCCATGTTGTTTGGCTGGCTTGATTGGCTGGGATGCCGGTTTCCTGGCCAATCAGCGTCGAGCCGGTTTCTTCGCCAATCAGGAAGCCGGGCAGTGAGTAATTACCCACCTCCCGGATTCTTGATTGGCCGGTAAGCCAGCTCCATGCTGATTGGCTGGAAAGCCGACTTCCCAGCCAATGAGCATCCAGCCGCTATTAAACCAAAGTTGAACTCCCACCAACCAAGAAATAATGATATGGATACAATGAACGATAATCGAAGATACAGATGACTGCAACGTTCTTATTACTGATATGCAGAAATTGGTAAATAGTGAAAATGTAATGTCATTTCATCAATGAATTCCTTTACCAACCTGCGCCTGTAGTGGTCACCTCTGGTTTTGTTGGTGGTATAAAAGGAGGCCAGTGAGGAGGGTGCTTTGGTGCCAGTTCAAACATCCGTAAACTCTGCTGCTTTAATATCTCCTGCCAATGAAAAGACACCTCATTCAAAAACATAAAACAAAATTTACAGTTTAAATCAATAAAACAAAAACTAATTTGTAGCCCTAATTGTTAATTCTCATCCAAGCATCAAAGTGCAGAGAAGAGTGAAGCCAGTATGAGGAAAAAAAGTGTATCACAGTCCACTTTGATGGGTAACAAGAAGTACAATGGGAATAAGCAGCGCACCTCCTCTTTAGGGGCTTCTACGCACTTGTGCTTGGCACACTGCATGGGTCCCATCTCTGCTAAACTTGGCAGCACAGACAAAGTGCCGGAGCCTATTTACATCTTTGTGGTGCTATAAAGTGCATTATCCCTTGAATGGGCGTCCTAAAGCACCAAAAAGGGCACCACAACACATAGTAGTGTGTTAGCATGCAGTGTGGCGTGATGCAAAGCACGTGCATTGTGAAAAGTGCTAGAGATGCCATTCAGAATGAATGCCAACACAGCACACCATTGCACAAAACATGCATTACCACATCGCAACTGTGTGAATCCAGCCGCAATCACTTCTTCTATATCCCTGCTTGTTCAATGAGCAATGAGCAAGTATTTTTCTTTTTTCCAAAGATAACTTAATGACATCCTTACATTTGTATAATACATATATATTTATATCATTTTGATCCTCTTTAAATGTTTATAATGGCCCCCTTTATTTCTTCCAGCTACTGGAAGTAAACATTTTACCTAGTATGTTCCTTGGGGTTATCCAGCTCCTAAGTATTAAGTGAGTGCCCCAGTCTCATGCAAAATATAGTTATTCAAGGCTGAGAAAAGATCACAAAGATGCTTTATTAAGGCAGCTAAATCATTTCCTTATCGTCACTGCAATCTGAACATAAGGCAGCTTCCTTTCATGTTCTCATAACAGAAGAGAAAGGAGCGCCCACAATAACTGGAAACGGTTTATTGCTAGAGGTATGGCAGGTGAGATTTCAGCGTATTACAGGAAACATATGGTGCGCTTTAATTGTACACGTCATTTCAGTTTTTATTGCAATGTTTTATCATGTTTCAAATGCTTGCTCCTCTATACGTCCATTACTACTATTTATAAATACACAGATGTGTAGATTATCCACTTGAAGAAGCTCTGGGTCTAAGATCACAGCCACACAGCAAGTGCGTTGCTTTTAATGAGTCAACAAAACTTGTATTGAGAGAAAAAGCAGTAGAATAACCACTGTGTAATGTACAAAGCAAAGCCTACATAGTGTATGTACTCAGGAATATGGCTCCTCTATGTAGATTAATCATTCAAATCTACTCACAGAATCGTTGAAATCATAACATATTGATTTACATCAAGACTTTTTTTTTACATTGTATGTATCTAACAATTTCACTGAAATGACTTTAAATTCCCCTTAAATCCTCATTGCAGCCTTTATAAAGCTTTTAGGTATATATATGAACGTGATCAGTTTATTGGTTACTATTTTATCATTGTATGTTAATGCGTTTTAAATGTTTCTTTGTATGCTTTAAATGTATCAAACACACAATACTCTGAGCTCGATACAAATCAAACAAATAGTATCAAAAAGAAAGAAAATAAATCAAAGAAACACAGCAAAGGGAAGCTGCTCCGTATACTGTATACTCCTACAAGAAACAAAACAACCCCCTTGTAAGTAAAGCATAATAGTAACAACTAAGATGTACAGCTACATTTTTATAGTTAGTATTGTCACTTTTGCAGTAAAATGTAAGAAACTCCCACTATATGTTTGTTACGTGTTCCCATTCATGTAAAGTACCTAAAAATACGTTTTTACTAAATATTTCTCACCTTCCTAGTTGTTTCTGTGAAGCAAGATTATACTAAAGGCTCTTCAGGCAGCTTGTATTGTTTACAATTACTTGCTGAACATTACACTTTATCACAGTGTGTCTCAACCGGTGTAACCTCAGAACCCACATTTGTCCTTGGTCATTAAGGTGCGGCCCAAGTCACAGCGCACTGGAACGCACGACATTGCATTACTGCGCATTCTGGTGCAGGCAATGAAACTGTGGGCAGGAGGTGTGTTTGGGGTGCCACTTAAATGAATGGCAACATACTGCACCTTCCGCACCAGAACACAAGGTAGGTGCGATTGCGTGGTACAGTGCGATAATTGCGTGGAACTGTGCAATTAGCGCATTGTAATAGTGTGAACCGGCCATCAAAGACACTGAGACACACAACCACAGACACAATCTCACATACACATATCAAAACAAAATGCCTTTTTCTCATTTTTTCAGGACCCTCTGAGAAAGCGCTTGCAGTTGAATGGCAATGTGCCAATAAATGGACTATTGCTTTATTATACTTTGGAGTGCTGGTGACGTTATTTCTCTTTCTGATTCTATCACGGTGCCATCCGGCCATACGGGTCTTTTCTGTTCGGTAAGGAGTGCAGCGAGATCTCTTGATTTCGGGAGCCAGAATGTGTCACTCCTGTCCAGGCACCTCCACAGGGCTGACGAGGGAGCTGAAAGCAATGCATGTATAGATGGAGCTCCCTGGCGGCCATACCCCCAGCCCATCCCACCTCAAGCTGACACTCGGTGACGGGCAGCATATTATGAATGGCTGCTCAACACTGACAGTGCTGTGCTAGGGGGAGGCTGAAGAGCTTCTCATCTAGCGAAGTGGAAGGCACACGGTGACCCACTGAACACGTGGTTGCTCCCCACTTTTGGGTCACGACCCACCAGTTGAGAACCACGGCTTTAGCAGGTGTAGACAAACTCCAGCCCGCAGCTATGGTGCAACTACAAATCCCACTAGGCATTGCAAGACTCTTGACAGCCAAGAAGCAAATACATGATGGGATCTGTAGTTTCACCACAGCTGAAGGGTCGGAGTTTGCTTACCCCTGCACTATAGAGACATTTAAGCTGGCTTTTCACTGCAAGAACTTTGTTTGAACGGTCATTTGAAATTGTTCATCAGAACATTTGATCTTCCTATCGAGTCAACTCATTTAATTCAAAAGCCCTTAAAATGCATCCAGACCTGCCATTGAATAAAATCCCAGACGTAATAACAGGTTTCTTTTTGTGCCTAGCACAAGTACAATATAATATGTATCATTTTTTCTACATGAAAATCACATTCACGGTTAGACTTCCGTTCGTTAAGAAAGAAGAAACATTTTCCATCCTGCCCCCTTAGAACAAACGTTCCGAAAACAAACCTTTTTGACCAAAATGACACTGGTGTACGGGTCCCTGTCCCCCTCCCTTATAGTACATAGAAGGGGTAAGCTACGTAAGATGTTTATAGGATGTTTCAGCAAATAAAAAGGTTAGCAACATCTTTTAAATATTATTTTAAAGTTATGCAATGTGAATGGGAACTTGTAACAAATATAAAAAAAGGTGTTTTCCCAATTTGGCTGCAAAAGTGGAAATACACTTTAAATGATATATGTGCACAGGAAAGGGGGCGGGGTCGTAGCGGGTCACAAATAATAGACTGATTAGTAGCTGGAGACCATGTGACTAGGGAGCCATAGAAATGTTTTTTTTCTGTCAGGTAAAAGAATTAAGACTCCAGCTAGGAACATAGGACCAATTGTAATGGCTGCAGCACACTGATAGACTGAGGGGGGGGGGGGGGGGGGGGATCTCAGATGTCACCACACTTGTCATTTAGGGGTATAAAGATTCCATGGGTGGGTCATCTCACTGACATCAAAGGTTTTCCTGAAAAACTGTAACTTGATAAATATAGAATGGTAGTCACTGGCTTGCAGTATCAGCACCCCTCTGCCACTGATGATGTCATACTGAAAAAGACTTGCTGGACCTACCTTTTCCACAGTTTTACACCAATTGTCAAAATCTGCTTCTTCTTTGCAAAAGAATCCCTGAGGAGAGCAAACACAAAGTAGTAATGAATGAGAAATACAGCACACAGTAAAGGCCTCACTCCAGTGCACTAAGCAGTGTAAAACGCGGTGTTCTTGTCTGTCTTCTTCCTCAAATACAACAAGAAACTGTTATTAAAGAGAAATCCTATTGCAGAAAAGTAATACATGCTCACCTCTTCATAAAAGGAAAAAAATGCATAGATTATTTTTTTTGTAGTAAAGCATTGCAAGTGTGATCAGTACATCATAGGTGCAATGCTCTGGCTCCTGCAGACTGTTCCTCCCATCCATATCCGTACCTAGGTATGGACATGCAGTAACAAGGACGGGAGGTGTCAAGGAAGTGTCAATGGAGTACAAGTGCAGTGATGTCACCCCAATTCTATTACATTACAAAAAAATACAAGTCCCTATGTCTGATGGTGGTTGATGGGACATACAGAATAGTTTCTCCATTCACAGATCTTTTCACCGGATCTGTCAAAGAATGACGTGACTATGTGGTTGGAGCCCAGCACAGCTGCACTGAATTCAAACAGCAGGAAGAAGAACCCTGCTTCTCAGGTAAGAGGGGTGGGAGGATTGTGATCTGACCATGTCACCATGTTTCATGTTACACCTGAAATATGGGGGTAACATGAAACCTGGTCAGAAACGTGCAATTGGCCTTTAATTATCTGTAAAAAAAATGAGTCAAGGCAACTGGACTTGCTGTATTTGTTTCTTGAAGACGTTTCACTGGTCATCCAACCAGCTGGTCAGATTTGACCAGTGAAACGTCTTCAAGAAAAAAAACAGCAAGTCCAGTTGCCTTGACTTATATTTTTACAGATATACCATGACCTGGATAAATGAGAACCTTCACAGACCGCTGGCCTTTAACATTTATACTTTATACAAATCAATAGGAAACATGTCAGCATTACCAAAACACATGAATTGAACAGTAATCCGCTCTTGTGCTGTGTCATATGACTTAAAGCCTTGGCAAGGATCACATGGCCTCAGGTTACCAGGAACAGCATAGGGGATATTTATCAATTCTGTCACACAGCAAGGCAATAATGAAGAGAAGCAGTGAGACAGATCCAAGACAGATTTACTACAAGGTTACAGCATGAGTCACAAATCAGCTCAGCCTCCCTCAGCTGCTATAAGGTACCACTGGAACATAATGAAAACATGAGCCTGACCGTTTCTAGACTGTGCAACTGTTTACAGTACAAATCTGTCTAGTCTACAGTGATAAAACTGTCACAGACATGTGTAAATCTGTTGCAGTAGGATACCCAGGATTACAGGCGCAGGGGTCCCAAATACACAGAAAAACTGGGGCGTATACTTTACTAAGTGAGAGGCAACCTGATTCGTGTCTACATTTGTAGCCAATTTCTAGATAATGTCCTACACAAAAATGTATTCCACTTCATTAGAGATTAACGCTAATTAATATATATCTATCTATCTCTACTATTAACTATTTTCAATAAGAAAGACACTGACTGACAGATTTGCAGTAAGGGTATAAGCAAGGCACAACCACTGTGCAATGTTACTAAGCAAGAAGCAGAGCCTGCAAATATTATGGTAGATATTTACAAACTACATATATAAGCAGACTTGTTTTAAACATTAACAGTCAATAATAAGCTACATTACACGAATCTGATGTCTCACATGTATACAAAATATAAAAAGGACTATAGTTTTATTGTACTATAAAGGTCTTTACAATGGAACCTGTAACAAACTCAACTTATGTGGTAAAACATTACCAGGAAAAAGGGCAAAACCTAGACCAGGTTGTAGTCTGCTCAGTTGGCATTCTAATTCTGAGGTATTAGTCCCTGCGTGCATCAATCTAGAATTATGAATGATGGAGATCCAATGCATCAATCTAGAATTATGAATGATGGAGATCCAATGTATCAATCTAGAATTATGAATGATGGAGATCCAATGTGCAGGAACACTTCATATAGAATACAATGCATCATTGAAATGGGGTTACTACATACCAATGCCACAGAGGGGTCCAGATTCAAAATCTTCATCCTGTTAGGATTTTTTTGGCAGTGATATGTCTGGTCCTGCACTGTCCCTGTGTCTTCTGTCTCCACAAAGGTCTGCGTTGTGTGGGGATCCAGGTAAATGAGCTCATCCCCTTTACAAAGAAACAGTGAAGAATTCTATGAATAAAGAATCTCTATATAATTAATAATAATAAATAATGTCAGACCCAAACATAAGCAGCAATGTGTATGTTACATGCAGGAACCTAATATTGGCAGTGCTCCCTACTGACAGTCCATGCAGGCCAGAAGGGAAAGTTCTGTGCCCCCTGTATAAAGGACTGTCTGTGGGACACCAACACACAAAAACCTTGACAGTCCAATCTGTTTAGCTTTAAAATGCATCTGCGCTTTTCCCATGCAGAGCAAAGCAACAGGTTCATCTTAATACAGTCCTCCCCAGCTGTGTATACTTACTTTCCTTTTGCTCCCCAACTGCCAGGAGGTAAGGGAAAACCCTGTGTAAACCAAGTGTCCCTTGAATTGGTCCTTACACAGGGCTATGGACTCCCCTGTGACAAAGCAGTCACATGAAGTAAGTCACATTCTCCTCCATACATAGAAGCAAAAGGCATTTACTTAGCATCAGGGTAGTGAAGGAAACACATGTTCAAAATATATACAAACCCACTATATCAGGGGTAGGCAACCTCAGAACTCCAGCTGAATGGGTGACAGAATGTTGAGAGAGCACAGAGCCATCAGTGCAGGAGAACAAGCTTACCTGAAAAACCTATGAAATAATAGGCATTGTTTGGTTTCCCTCCTAAAGCTCCTAATGACTGAGCCATTTTAAAACATTCCTGTAATGAAAAGAAAAGATAAGTGCCTATTAATTCTTTTGCAATGTTTACTTTTCCATTCCAACACTACCATATGCTAACTTCTGGGTAGCCACATAGGTGGACAATACCTAGACACTATTTAGGCAAATATAGGGGCCTGGAGACACTGAAGTTCAGAGAGGCAGCTTAATGCACAGCTGAACAACACACAGCAACTGTTTCATCTGCTATAGGGGTCCACTGTCTCCTCTACCTATGAGGCCATCCAAGAGGGGGAAACAAGAGGCAGTAAGGGGCCCCTGAGATCTATGTCTGCTAAATGTGGACTCTGCAGAATACGGAATTCCAGGATTAACACCGACTACCCTAAAAAAAACAGCTAGCGCAGCCCCAAACGCAAGACAAGACAATTTTCCTTGTCACAGATGGGCACTGTACCGCACGTGGTACTGTTTTTTGTTTTTTTCAGCGCAGCGGGTCATAACATGCCCATAGAACATAACAGGCATCAATAAACAGTGTAGCACTGTGACTGCTAACAAACACAGGTGGCTGTGCATTGTGGTGCAAACGTCGGGGTGAATAAGCCCAGGTTTCAGTTTACAAGGTTTAGCACTGATTCACTTTAAAATGGCAGAGATGCCAACAGATATAAAATGCTGCCACCACATGTTGATAGGGCAAAGTTTTGGCAATTCCTTGTAGTGTCAATTTGTTGTTTTAAAGTTTGCTCACTCTCTCCCCTACCTGCCACATATTTTCTACTGACCAGTAAGGCAGCCTATAATAGTGTTGGCCCAGTAGGATTATATGGGGCTGGGTGTGCAAAGCAGGGGCACTGAAATGTGCAGTTATGTGCACCTCTAGGTGCCTGCACTTTGTACCAGAGACTCGCTTTTTTTTTTTTTTAAGTGACAGAATTTCTTTAAAGTGGGATAAAACATAGCATAGTCATGTTATATTAAAATCTATCCAATCCATATACCCAATCATATGCAAGGAGAATAAAAAAACAGGGTTTTTGCTTCCACAATATGATGATTGAAGTCATCCCTGAGTCACCTCATTCCCTAACCTTTGCAAAGTGATTATGCCCTATTCTCCTTTAGTAAATCAACCCCATTATGTACAATAAATGCAATTGCAGTACTTGTTAAAAGGGTACCTCTCAGTGACCAGTCCCTGTTGACCTAGATTTAACAAGGTAAAACTTACTTTAAAAGCATCTATATACACGGGATTAATCTGGTTGATCCCTAGGCGCAGAGGGACAATGAGCAGAAGTGGCCTCCATGCTGAGCTCTGCTCTGAAGTGTCTCTACATCTGCTCCAAGCACTTTGGTGAGTATGAGAACTGCTTTGTGCTGTGCTCCAATTGTGAGGGTGATAGCGGCACATTTTCCCTGCAAGAACATATAAACATTCATCAGTAGATATGTATTGCATACAGCACACAGGGTACATTACATTAAAAAGAAATACGTGTGGTCAGTATAATAATCTTATAAGGACACTAAGCCTTGTATTGTTACACAAGATACTCTGAGATGACAATATGAATTTTATGTACAGTTATGAAGAAACAAGAAACCTACTACATACATAAATGTAATACATTCACTAACTGGACTATGTATAGTATAAAGTAGCACTGGGCCTTGTGCAGGACATGCCACACAGCAACCAGAAGATCCCAGCTCCCCTGGCGGTTAGCACTTACCTCTCTCCTCTCTGCTCTTGCTTGTGGACTGACCCTCGGCATCCTCCTTTATAATGCAGCAGCCTGTGCCTCCCCTATGGGAGGACACAGTCACACGCATACACACCAGCCTGAAACTACACATCAGTGCAGGTCCGGGAGCCTGTACTAGGACACACACTGTCTGCGTCTAAGTGCAGGCATCTGGATCTGCATGCATGTGCCAGTTCAGGCCGGCATGTAGTCACTTGCAGCCACATATAGGTACAGGCTGTTACACGCAACTACATGCAGCACCTGTCCCTCCCGGGAGCAGGTCTCTGCATGGGCGTACATACCAAGGGAATGAGCCCTAAATGTGTAGGCACTGGGGCTGTCACCCCAATCCTGGTTTCATTGCCAAGTAAGTTGCTGACCTGAAGGAAGTATTCAGGATGAGAGGTCAGACCTTTCAGACTATATTAGCTGCATGCATGTTGCAGGTCAGTGACTCAAAGGTAATCATGCCAGGATCAGGCTGACTGCCTGTAGTTGTAACTCCCATACATAACCTCACAGCTTTACTTTGCAAAACTGATTTTCATAATGTCATTGCTTCATGAACACCTCAGTCTATTGTGACTTTATAGATTGTAATATTCTGTAGTTTGTCAGTTAACAGGCAAAGATTCATTTATGAAAACAACATTCATCAATAGCAATCAGAATGAAGATAACTCCTAGGGCAGCCATTAACCTCTCCTCCACCCTTGCTCCATTTCATAAAAACACAAGAATGAATTGGGCCCTCAAAGTCATGTCACTCTATGATAGCTCTATGTGTGCATCCTCTGTGTCACCAATGATAAGTGTGGCCTCCATCTTCCCCAAGGATGCCTATGAACAGCTATGGATTTCCCTGTGTGACACTCCCAGTTTGTGGCGCTTACATCAGCTCACAAGCTGACAAGGAACCAAAGCACAGTACCAAATAATCAGGTGAGGGTTTATTCCCTAACCTTTAGAGGTCAAGGCAGGCATGCCTAAGATTAGTGCACCCACCTAAAAAGTACACAAATATGGAAGCTGCTGTTCCTGGCTCTCGTCTTAAAATGCAAGTTGCTGGGCTCTCAAAGATCACGCAGCGTCAATACTTTCATATTACCACACCTAACTCATTCCAGTTACATAATGCTTGTTTTGGGTCAGTAATTCAGAGTACTGAGGCCAGAGACAGCTGGGCAATTTCCATTTATATGTCAGAAATGGCAGCCTCCATATTTCTTTCAGTACAGGTCTCCTTTAGAAAGAAAGCTGGACACATGGACAGAGGTCCTGCAGTTAGTCCTGGTGGTTAGAGGGGGCCATCCACTCTTTATGACAGCAGTTCTCACACAATCAGGCCTCACCTATTTTATACATCGCCGGCAATAGATAGGACTCCTTCCAGTGGTGGTATTAACACGGCTGCTAAATACATTTCACATTATATTTATAGCAAAAAAATAAGTTTAAAAAAGAATACACCTAATAGGAGACAAAAAAAATGCAATGACACGAAAAGCCCCTCCGACCTGCATAACATTCCTCATAGCCGAGATTCCCCCCACTGAGTGACCAGATGCTCGAAGGTGATGTATAACGAACATTCAGTATTAGCAGATTATAATAAACTGGGAAGAAGAAAAAGCACAACTCACTTATATCTTCAATGACCACAGTGTTATCCATTGAAACATAAACGGCGAATGAATTCCATTCATCAAATAAAGCAAGTTTCCTGGAAATATGAGGAAATGATTAGTCTCATTGTTGTGTTTATAACACTAAGAACATTTGGAAGCAACAGCAAGTCCAGGTGTAGTTCACAGCAATGAATATTCATTTTCAACTCTGCACTAGAAACATTATAATGAAATCTGCTTGGTTACTATGGGAAATGCACTTCATCTTCCTGCAGTATTTTGTACATGAGGCTCATAGGACCTATACATTGGATCTATGCTAGTCTGCAGATTACAACAATAGCTTGCATTAGATTAAATGGGCCATTCCCATTATCGGGTTTTCTACTGCTTTATATGTAAGCACGTTTGTATGCCCCCTGCCTGTTTTGTGGATTTAACTTCAGCTGTCCACATACCATTCATTGATAAACATTCAATAGTTGTATAATGCCTAGGCTCCCCACTCCCGGGCACACAGGGCCTACTGTTAACTATTCTTTTACAGATACACAGACACAAACTGCTCACCTCTCCCTCCCCAGTACATAGACATGCACTGCTCACCTCTCCCTCCCCAGTACATAGACATGCACTGCTCACCTCTCCCTCCCCAGTACATAGACATGCACTGCTCACCTCTCCCTCCCCAGTACATAGACATGCACTGCTCACCTCTCCCTCCCCAGTACACAGAAATGCACTAATCACCTCTCCCTCCGATACATACCTATACGCTGCTCCACTCTCCTCTCCACTAGCCATTTTCATACTTGCACACTTTCATACACAAGCCCACAAGTCGTTTAGTTACAGGAAGAGAGTGAGCTAATAAGTAAATACTTACTTTAAAACCTGAGCCACTGTATTTGGCCCATACCATTCACCTATAGACTTTCCTTCTCCGACGCCCATCTGTGCTGATTTTTCACCCAAGAATAAGGAGAAATAGAGAGTTATGATTGATGTGAAAGTACAACTTTTATTTCTACAGTACTATGTGGTTTATTGAACTGAGATAAAGTAAAATAACATACAAAGAGTTGCCTTTTGTAAGGAACGATAAAAGCAATAATGAACTTAGCCGCAGCATAATTACTTACATGCAACATTTGTTTCACCTTTTTTTTGGAGAGATCTAAAAACACACAGTAAACGGAACAACACAAAGCTGCTATACTTCGTAGAGACACATAAACAAAGGATTTGTAAAATATTTTTTGAATGGGCATAACAGGAGTAATATTAGGGGAACCCTGTGTATGATAAATGGAGACTATTACATGGATTCCATTCTGCACAATATGGCGAGTAGTAGCCGGTGATCACATTGGTATCACTTGTAAGCATAGATAGTGTGAATTTTGGGAGCACTTTAGAGAAGGTGTTTGAAATATCTGGATAACATGAATGTGGGGCAAATCAGGACTTTTTATGGAAATGTTGGACTTTATAGCAAATTAATTTATAGATTACATTTACATTCTGTTTTTTGCACAAAATAGCTTATCTTAGGTTTTATGTTTAGCTCTAGGTCCCATGTAAATTCATTGATGAACTACTCTTACCCATCTGATGAATGGAATAACAGCTATTTTTCCTGTCTAGAAAACACTGCAGGATCTGGTAATATTCGCCTGGCTGTTTTTTATGTTTCTCCCACCGCCATTCTGAAAGAAATGAAATACAAAGGGTCAACAGTGAAAATCTACTATGCACGTCATAGTAAAGTCAGCTGAAGACTGGGAGTGATATCTTTTCAGTAATGAAATGTCACAAAGCAAAACATACCTGTTTGACTAGCTCCAGCCGTCTTTTACTCTTAAGCTACATACTTTATTGCAAGTTGCAGTGTAGAAAAGCTTAACCTATTCAGCTACACTCCAAATAGCACTATTGAGAACTCGGATGACCTCCTCTTCCTTCAGTGGATCTTGAGCCGAATTAATCCAAAATGCTTACTAGTCAGCACAGTTCTGTATTCAAACTCATCTTCCCACCTCAGTCCCAGTGCTGGCAGTCAGATGGAGTGGAGATTCCATTAGCAGCATACTGCGGAACCATCAGAGGTCTATTATGGTCCCTGCTTATTAATGGACAGGGGTAGGAGGCTGCTATAGATTTGGTAGAAGCTAGACATGATACAAAGCCCTCTACACATTTGTGACTTCAGAATACATCTATATGAATACTTTCAGTTTAATTTGAAATTGTTAAGGCAGAGACGGCTTTAGAATGTCATTTTCTCATTTGGTATTTTGCAGGATGGTGCCTTCTAAGACTTAAATGATGCTTCCAGATACAGGAAATGTACCTGTGTATTACATATGACCATTGAATTATCATTAGATAACACATAAACAAAGGAAAATACCTTTCCACTACTATGGATCCATTTTTCAAGTAACATTTGTCTGCAAGAACCATCTTTCCGCAGCTGGCTACACGGCAGTTAGACTGACCTTTGAGCTAAATTGTTAAAGAAGAACCTGTAGAAGAAATCTTCTGAACTCTTGCAGTGGGGCTACCCCCACACTGCAAGGGTTAAGTGCTCGTTTTGGTCTAGGGACAAAATTAGGGACCGGTCTAGCAGCCAGCCAGCTCCCAGGTTATTTTCACCCGCAGATGGAAAAAGAGCACTTAACCCTTGCAGTGCAGGGTACCGACTAGTCATGCAGCCCTATACAAACTGTGCATCCACATTAGTCTCTGCCCTTATGGAGCTTAGAATCTAAAGATGCCTATCTTGCATACACACACACACACTAGGGCCGATTTAGACAGGGACCAATTACACTACCAGCATGTCTTTAGAAAATGGAAGTGAAACCAGAGCACCAGGGGGAAACCTATGAAAGTACATTAAAAACATGCAAACTCCATGCAGATAGTTTCCTGACCAGGACTCAAACTGAGGTGCAAGACAGAAGTGCTAACCACTGAGCCTATCTGGGTAAGAATAGATCTACTCGTCATGTATTGCCTCTGCACAGTTCAGTCTTTTAGGAAGAATTTTATACACGGTTTTTGGAAACATTATGGACAATTGTAGGAGTATATTGGGATGGATACAATCGTTGGTCTTTTACAGTTACAGAGTCTATGCCTTTAGCATTTATGTGGCTTAGGAATTGTTTAGTGACCCTACTTCATTAAAGTGTGGTGTAACCCAAAACAGAAATGTATTATCTATTGCAGCGTACCAGTCCTTAGATGTGGTGGCTACATGCGTTTTCACTTTTCATGCTAATGACATAAGTACAGAAAACACCTGTAGCTCATGCCAGATACGCAGTGTCCTCGTCAATTCCTGTGAGATGAAAATACAGCACATAGAACCTTATCTGGATTGCGTATACTACCAGTCCTATTGATACCCCATGGAATGGAAATAAACAAAGGGAAGACATTTTTGAAGTCCAGCCTGTGTGACAACCATGGCTGCCACCCTATGAACTGTAGGGCCTTGCAGTTACAGAGTTTGTGCCTTTAGCAATTATGTGACTTAGGAAGTGTTTAGTAGTATAAAGAACTTTTCACTGGTGCATGTCAAAAATTAGCATGAAAAATGGAAAAAGTCCATAGACTCTAGACAAAGAAATAAAAAAAAAAGGGAATACCAGAACATATGGAAGTCTTTCGAATTTTTTATAATTTGGCTAGCATGTAACTAAATGTAAATCTTATTCTTTTTTTTCCTTCTTTGTATCTCTATAGGTTGGACTCGATGGACTTGTGTCTTTTTTCAACCTGACTAACTATGTAACTATGTAAACAATGGGGCCGCCATCCTGGCATTGTTTACAATTATATGAAGTCTGGAGACCAAAAATGACATTAGCAGGTGAGGCTGCTGGTAAAATCTGCAATTTCAGCCCACGATCCCAATAAAAGAAGACGAACCGCTATGCCAGGGCCTTGTCTGTGTTACTACTTGGGAGAATTCCAGAAAAATGGGGGATTTGAGTTTTCCTGGAAATATCCTTTAGGAAATGAGTTAATCTGTATAGTATAACTGTATAATAGGCAGGAGCTAAGTGCAGTGGTCCTGCATAACCCCAGCGAGTATAGGAACAGCCAGAGCTAACGTTCTGCCAGGGAGCATACAAGCCAACAGTTCTAAGTATGCGGCACCATTTCTATTAATCTGCCCCTCTTTATTCTGTAACAGAACAGTAAGCTTTTTGTAGCAGAGTCATGGCAGTGTAACTATTTTTATTTGGAATATTGATTCTGTCGTGTTTCCATCTATAAAGTAAATCATTTATTGCTGCTGTAAAATAGAAGGATGTTGCTGGTCCCAGATGAGTAATGCAATTTATATGAGGCATACTGAGTACTTGAAACAAATCATTAAACTGACGAAGCAATGCGCTGTGTTTTCATGTTGTGGAAGTCACTCGTTAAATCCAAAACAAAACTCTAATATTGCAGGTAAGCAGTTCTTAGATGTAGTGCAGCATTACATTTCTTTTTTCAAGCTGCTTTTCCTTTTCAACTGCTAATCCTGCAAATAACACTGGTTATATGGGTGCAGCCATGGATGTCACACGGTCGGAACTTTACAAATATCTATCTTTGCTCCTCTACATTACATGGAGAATTGATGGGATTAGCAGTGTAAACAAGAACAATACGGAGTGTTGTACTTTCTTTTCATCTCACAGAAGTGACAAGTACAATTTATTTCTGGTAAGAACAAGTATTTTCTGTACTTAGTGAAAATGTTCTTAGCCTAAAAAAGTTAAAACGAATGCAGCCACCGCATCTAAGGCATAGGTCAAAAAAACGGCACTCGCAAGGGGATCTGTCCAGCTCCGTGCTACGACTAAGGCCCAGTTTGGGGGCTGAAACATGTAAGTATTTGTTTGTTGCCGTTATGCCTTTTTGCAAATAAAGTACTGGATGGACAGATCCCCTTGCGAGTGCTGTTTTTTTAACCTATTGTTCAGTGAAGGCTCCAGTGGAAACTTTACCAGACACCGAGGTTCAAGCAGCAGGATTGGAGACAAGAGGGTAGAGCTGCTCCATGTTTCTAAACTCCCATACCTAAGGACCACATCAAAGCTGAAATATATATCATTTTTTTTGGGTGTAGATAAGTTTTAATGAAGTAGAGGACTGATAGTAGAATCATATACTATACATCATACAAGAGCTATTTGTTCCTATAGAACAATGTATAGGTTGAGGTAGTACTTACCTCTGCCTAGATGCTGGCAAATTAAGGCTTGAGCTAGCATCATCTGTCCACATCTCAACATACAACCCCAACCAGCATCAGACGATGGGCCTGTTCCACCTTGTTTCATATAAAGTGCAAAATTTGCAATTATTAAAAACAAACAAAATAATATGTCCTAAGCTATATAGCGGTAGGGTGCGGGGTTTACACAGGTTTATATAACCACACAATGAAAACAGGACATTTAAAAAACAGGAAAACAGTAAGAAACCAACCAGCATTTCCCATCACAATATGTGCTGGTGACACCCAGGATATCCCTGCGAGCTGAGCTCCCCATTTCCCCTGTCTGGACTGCACTTCCACATATTGCTTGTTCTGGCATCACTGGCTCCCCATTGAATTATCTATAGGAAAACATGTACTCCAGAGAGGGGACCGGGTAAGTTCAGCTCATAGCAATGATCTAGATGTAACCAAAAAAAGGGGATCTAAAAGGTTTTTAGATTGAGTTACCCTTTCTGAGGTGGGTAGGACAAAAAAGCAATGCAAGACTTACCGATAGGAGAAAATTTCTTTCTGTATGTAAACCACAGTCTGGAGGTAACATCTAAAAGCAGATCACACTTTTCTGGGGGGACAGAACCAACTTTAGGTCACATCATATGCTATATATTAGGTCAAACCTTAATAATATTTTCATTTACACACATCCTTCCTAATGCAGGTTCCATGCTGCTCCAGCCAACAAACAGTGCATTTTATGAAGTCAGAGAGTTCTCAGAATAACTGTAGGACAGATGTGTAAAGTTTAAACTGCACGACTTATAAGGAAAGCCATTGCAGAATCTGACCTCAGAGAAGCAGAAACAAGTTTATACTAGAAAACAATATTTGCAAAGGATTACATCACCATCAACCAAGAGAAGATTCCATGAACGGGTTTTCACACCAAAGACAGGATAAGAGCCTCGGCACATTATTTTAGAGCAGCTATTGCTATGGCTTTAAACGCATGTCACATACAACACAAACGCCTACACTTATATATCATTAGCAAAATCTTAAACTAAGAAACCCTCGGGCTCAAAGAAAATAAAAAAGCTAACAATATCAGAATAAGCTGTCAGCACAAACCAGCAGCTCTCAGCTCAGGAGGCTCTGGGCCACAGGGATGAGCAATTCTTTCATGTGATACGTAGCTGCGACATTGTATATTCGTGAAAAGAATAATAAAAAAGCCAAACACAGATAAGAAATTCGGCAAAGCATTGATATACACTGAGTGGCCAGATTATTATGACCACCTGACGTTTGTAGGCAAATTAGCTATAATTAGCTATAATTTCGCGCTGAAGTTGCTAGATTTACCATTATAAATAGGGAAGCAGGTTGTTTACCACGACTGTACAAGTGATTTTTTTCCCTGAAGATATGAGTAAACAACGCGATTTAACAGCCTTTGAACGTGGGTTGATTGTTGGCGCTCAGAGCCATGGAGCGAGTATCAGCAAAACAGCAGAATTACAAAGGCCTAAGGCCGGCCCTGGCAACAGTGCAGTGTCAGATTCCTCACATCACCTTTCAACATCTCGTGGAGTCACAAGGCGGCCCAACAAAGTACTGATGGGGTGGTCATAATAATCTGGCCACTCAGTGTACATAGCTAGGATTCTTGTGTGAAATAATTGATTACAGAACATTTCAGTTACATATCCAGTCTCCCTAAACACACGCACACACACACACATATAAAGTTCACAATGATTACCTGTTTTTATGTCATATTGCTTTCCTAGGATGTAAAGTGGCTCGTCTGTATCTGGGAGTTCTTCAAGTTCCAGATAATCTGACAGGACAATCTCATTTTCATCAATTGGAAGACCTGGTTGATAATAGTTGATAATAGTTAGTATAGACAGATGAGCATACAACCTCTGCTAAAAGTCAAGAGTATAGTAAATGTTATGCTTAAATGAACATATGCATACTATGCTGAATCTGTTCAAAACCATGAAAGAAATCCATTTAGAAGTTATGCACTGAGCATTTCTTGGTTGTATCTGCTACTCAGTGAGACTTGATTACTGCAATAGATCCTGTTTACTGACAGATTTCTCAATAGGTGGAAGTTGTGTGTTTCAATCTTGCATAACCAAGTCACCAGAAGAGGCAAGGACTTATTTTTCTAAAAGAAGAGAACTGAATTTAATATGGGGCACAGATCTGACATGATTTCCATTACTACACAACTTTCATTTAATAAACAAAACACAGATCTGACATGATTTTCATTACTACACAACTTTAATTGAATACACAGATCTGACATTTTGTTGTGTTACTACACACATTTGATAGCTGACTGTCAGAAGAGAAGTATGGGGCTGCCATAAGCAGGCCTCCTTCTGCTAGATTCCTGTCTGTGTCTGACGTTGGTATTTTTCAGGAACTAGAAGAAAGGTTTGGGGTGCTGAATCTTTTCAAGCAGTAGTTGGTCTCAATAAAGTCTAAAGCAGTGTAGAGGGAATGAATAGGCAGCTCTCCCTGCAGTGGTGGACAAAGGTCGGCTCTTTGCTTGAGTAAGGACTGGGTGTTCAAGGTGGAAAGAGGCAAAAACATACAGTCCAGGTTTAGTTTTATTCAGACTCTTGTATCATAGAAAGCCAATGAGTTTCTGCGATTCAAAGGAAACCCCTTCATACTCATTACCCCTCAGGATCCCTCTGAATGAAATCAGTCCTCACTTTATTCAACCATACCAAGTCCTGATGAAGGGGGACCCTTTGATCCCACAGTTCAGTAATGACAGCTTCCATCAATGGCACTTTAAAGCAACCCTGTCAGGTTTATAAAAGATAAAGAAAAAGGTCACTGACAAGAAGAGTGTTTATACTGACTCCTACCTGACCTCTGCTATAGCACTGCAGCCTCCATCATTGGGATTTTGGGAGTGTATGATGCCTGCATCGCCCACCACGCACTGTGGCTCCAGCCTCCGACCCCAACATCACTCTATTGATCTAGGGGTTGAAAGATGGAACCACAGAGCACAGTAGGGAGTAGGGAACACAAACATCTGACACTCGAATTTTGAAAGAATCTTATGAAGGCTGCAGTGCTGGTTTGGAGGGGCGGTTGGAGACACGGGCTGCTGGAGAGAGCCGGGTATTTACGCTCTTCCTTTGCAGGAACCTTTCTCCTCAATCTTTTCTAAACATGGTAGGACCACTTTAAGGGGAGCTTTCATTAAAACGGGAATGTCCCCAGAAGATATAGTAATGTTTCCTTCCAAACCAATTACCTGCCAAATGATTTGTGATTTTGTTCGGCCAGTCGTGTGGTCAAGTCCCCCAAGGACTTGCTCGAGTAGAAAGAAACACACACAAGGGAGCCCGATCTAAGAGCCTATTCACACCAGGGTGGTTGCAGATCAGCGCGGTTACGGGAGTTTTTAATTGCGTTTCAGCGTTGAAACGCAATAAAAACATTAAAAAACGTGCTGATCAGCAAGGGAAAAATAGTGCAGGGAGCAGTTTGGCCGGGGAGCGGTTCGGATCGCACGGACCCGCGCGGTGGCATGAGCGGTCCCCATAGCAATGTATGGGATTGTTCATGTCGGCGGATCCGCGCGGCCAAATCCGTGCGGCCGAACCGCTCCGCTTCACCGCTGACTTAGGTCCTTACTTCTCTGGTTAACGCATTTCAGTTGCACGCCTCCTTCCTCAGAACCAACCTACTACGGACCTAAAGTCAGCGGTGAACCGAGAAACAGGACGGATGGTGCTATGCTAAACACGCTTACGTGCTTGTACTGAATGGATGCAGCCTGGCAGCCGGGAGCGCGCATGCCGGTCAGACACCGTGGGACCCGAGGAGTCTGAGGTGGATCAGCGACCGGCACCAGCGCTGGAGGGACTGACAGAAACCAGTGCAATGAAGAAGATGATCGCATCAAGAGGCATCAACTAGGGTTCACAGAGGTATTCATACTGATAGGAATAAGCATTCCAGTTTGATAAGTTAGAGAAATGAAAGAACTGGCTTTTACTGGTTCCTGAAAGTGAAATCATTCCCAGGTACCGGACAATAGTGAAGACGGGTCGCAGGTCCCTTTCTTAGTTTTAAGTAGAGTCTAAAGATTAGAATATTTGTCAGATTTGTATTGCGGTTTATGACACCAGAACAAGAAATAAGAGGTAAGGGTGCCACCTGGATAGGTAGAAGCATACAACAATAAAACTCTGAACCCTTCCCCACTTCTGTACCTGTCACCACTACAGTAAAACAGCAAAAAGCTTCCCAGCACACTCACCAGCCAGCCAGCATACAAAAAAAAAACATGTCTAACCGCTAAGGTTAAAAACAGAGGTTTTAGATACACGCCTTCTGCAGAATATGTTAAAGCCGCACAGCCGCGCCAAGTCAACCTCTATGTAGTGCGGTCCTAACTCTAACCTATGAGAGTCTCCATCTTGGAGCACATGTAGCAAAAGATAAAATTCTGTGCAGGTTCGCAAGGAGGTAGCCCAACCTCCTGTTCTGCTTGTCACCACTACAGGACATGAGGAGAAATCTCCTCAATGGAACCAAAAACAGCAATAATAGGCAATCCATGGATTCATAACTCCCCTACGTCTTCTGGGACACTGACTATTAACGGATTCAGCGTCACTGTCCTAGAACTAGTATGTGACAAATGATTCAAGGAAAGGCTGCTTCCATCAAAGCCTTCTCACACTGTTTGGATTTGTACCATAATCTCATTAAGAGTCACTTTTTATATATGGTAGAAAGTCCCATTATACCCAAATTTGCCTAAGTAGACATGCTTCTACCAAATGGGCCCCTTATATCCTCAAATCATTTACTTGTACAGCTGTTCCCCACAAATGATGTCAGCATATGCAGAGTTTAAACCGCAAACGGTTTCAGAAATGTGTCCCATCGCTATAAAAACGTAGAAAGATCTACTAAGAAGCCATAACGCTTACAGAAGCCTCTGAAAACAGGCCAAATGTCATCCTGAATTCCTGTGTCCATCCTTTTTTCAGGCAGCATGAGCCCTGGACTGATTTTCGAATTACCGGCTGACTATAGAAATTGGAATAAGACTTTGCTATCTGCGTTCAGGCGGAAATGAATATAAGGTCACATGCCTGCTATATAAGTAGATTCTAATAATCACAACAAAGGGTCAAGTGGTCTTAAGTAAACTTCTGTCTGCAATGCTCAAGGAGATGTTTGGAAATCAAATACATTTTTGCAAACTTTAAGCAAGAGGCTTTTTCAGTTACATGAAAAATCTGAGGCTGGGCATTCAGCATGCGGATCTTCAAATCTGAGCTGCATTCTAATGGTAATTACAGAAGCATCCTTATCCTCTAAACATGTATAGTTTGATATAAACATTATGTGGCCTCACACCCAGAATATGCCACACATTTATTTACACCTAAACACCTAGTGCTTCTACGTTCTGTATACAGCATGGCTTCCCCACAATGAGAACAGCACATTTTATGCTGGCTGTAGGGGTGTGCAAAGTGTTTAGAAAACTACTTGTCCATGGACTAAAGCCCAATCTACTTGTCCCTCCTGACAATCTACGTGTCCCTCCTGACAATCTACGTGTCCCTCCTGACAATCTACTTGTCCCTCATGACAATCTACTTGTCCCTCATGACAATCTACGTGTCCCTCCTGACAATCTACTTGTCCCTCATGACAATCTACTTGTCCCTCCTGACAATCTACGTGTCCCTCATGACAATCTACGTGTCCCTCCTGACAATCTACTTGTCCCTCCTGACAATCTACGTGTCCCTCCTGACAATCTACGTGTCCCTCCTGACAATCTACGTGTCCCTCCTGACAATCTACTTGTCCCTCATGACAATCTACGTGTCCCTCCTGACAATCTACTTGTCCCTCCTGACAATCTACGTGTCCCTCCTGACAATCTACGTGTCCCTCCTGACAATC